TTATATTCCTGCTGCTAACGTATGAGAGTGCTTATTTTCCCACAGCTTTGCCAACACAATATGTTGTATTTTTTTATCTTTGCCAATTTTATACCTTAAAAATGGTATTTTAGAGTGGTTTTAATTTACATTACCATAAAAGAAATAAAGCTAACTTTAATTATTTATTTTTGAGATGGAGTTTCGCTCCTGTTACCCAGGCTGGAGTGCAATGGCGCCATCTTGGCTCACCGCAACTTTCACCTCCTGGGTTCAGGCAATTCTCCTGCCTCAGCCTCCTGAGTAGCTGGGATTACAGGCATGCGCCACCATGCCCAGCTAATTTTTTGTATTTTTAGTAGAGACGGGGTTTCACCATGTTGACCAGGATGGTCTACATATCTTGACCTCGTGATCCACCCGCCTCGGCCTGCCAAAGTGCTGAGATTAGAGGCTTGAGCCACCGCGCCCGAACTGTTTTTTTTTTTTGAGACAGAGTTTCACTGTAGCCCAGGCTAGAGTGCAGTGGTGCGATCTCTGCTCACTGCAACCTTTGCCTCCTGGGTCCCGGTTCAAGCAGGAGTTTGAACTCAACCTCAGCCTCTAGAGTAGCTGAGATTACAGGCATGCGCCCCCAGGCCCCAGCTAATTTTTTAATTTTAGTAGAGACAGGGTTTCACCATGTTGGCCAGGCTGGTCTTGAATTCCTGACCTCATGATCCACCTGCCTCTGCCTCCCAAAGTGCTGGGATTACAGGCCTAAGCCACCGTGCCTGGCTTAAAGATAACCATTTTTTAGTATGTGTAAGTCATTTATGTATCCCTTTCTGTGAACTACTTCATATTCTTTGCCCATTTTTCTTTTGGGTTTAAGATCAATTATTAATTAATTTGTAAAAGCTCTTTACATATTAGGAAAATTAGCCTTGTTTTTTATGAGTTGCAAATATTTACATTTTTAAATAAAATGATTTGGTGGCAAAGAGGTTTTTTACTAAATAAATTTTTTGCTAATTTAACCATCATCAAGATTGATGTCACAGTTCAGTGTCATACTGTAGGATCTGCAAGACTTGCTCTAATTTGCAGAGGAGCTAAATAGACTGGACTGTATCAGTGTCTTGCTTTTCTAATCAAAACAGAGGATATAAGACAGGATTTGTAATGTCACATATAAACTCATTTGAAATTTGTTCAGAGCTCAACAGAACCCAGTCTAACTTTGTTGTTTTAATTTAAAATATTTTTTGATTTAGTGGTAGGGTGATTGGAATGACATATCAAACCAGAAGCTTGTAGCATTGTAATTTCTTTTAAGTTACAGTTAGGTTAAATTCTACTTGCTTCAAAAATAGAAGAATTAAGTGAGGCATGGTGGCTTACACCTACAATCCCACCACTTTGGGCAGGAGAATTAATTGCTCAAGCCGAGGAGATTGGGACTGCAGTGAGCCGTGATCGTGCCATTGTACGCCAGCCTGGGTGACAGAGCAAGACTCTGTCTCAAAAAAAAAAAAACAACCAGGGCTGGTGTGGTGGCTCACACCTGTAATCCCAGCACTTTGGGAGGCCAAGACAGGCAGATCACAGGGTCAGGAGATTGAGACCATCCCGGCTAACACTGTGAAACCCCATCTCTACTAAAAATACAAAAATGAGTTGGGCATGGTGGCACACGCCTAGAGTCACAGCTACTCAGGAGGCTGAGGCAGGAGAATCACTTGAACCCAGGAGGCAGAGGTTGCAGTGAGCCAAGATCGCACCACTGCACTCCAGCCTGGGTGACAGAGCAAGACTCTGTCTCAAAAAAAAAAAAAAAATGAATTGAATAGTGATGTTGTCAGTGTTACTGGTTTTACAGGTATGCTGTAAGCATTATGTGGGAATTAGATAAAACCTCTTATGAAATTAAGAAAGTGTGGTATGGCAGAACCATTATTCCATCAGCATACAAACTGTTCTATGAAGCAGCCCAGGAACTACTGGATGGAAACTTCAGCATTGTTGATGATATTCCAGAATTCAGACTTGGATGAGAAGAGCAGACAAGCCAGGCTGGAGGAGTTAGTGTGGGCAGTTGGAAAGCTGACTGACATAGCTCGCCATGTCAGAGCTAAACGAGACGGATGTGGTGCCCTGGAACTAGAAATGGTGGAGGTTCGCGTACAGCTAGATGAGAAAAAGAATATTCACGACCTCATGCCCAAGCAGCCCCTGGAAGTCCATGAGACAGTGGCCGAATGCATGATCCTGGCCAACCACTGGGTGGCCAAGATCTGGGAGAGCTTCTCTCATCAGGCCTTGCTGTGCCAGAACCCTCCTCCACACCAGGAGTTCTTCTCAGAACTCCGGGAATGTACAAAAGCCAAAGGCTTCTTCATAGATACACGGTATTCCTCTTTTGAGGGGGCAGAGGAATGGAGGGGCATGTTGTATATTTATCTTACAGTCGTTCTTCAAATGTGACAGCCAGATCATTGACCTACAAGAGAAAACTTGGCTCTCTTCATTTTTGAAGAGACATTTTTCTCTCTTCATTGATATGTATAGAGACTTTAAACAACTTTATTTAGGCATAATTTTATTTCTTGGTTTTCTGGGTTTTGTGGGAGTTTTTTGTCTCGTGTGGGTTTTTTTGTTTTGTTTTGTTTTTTGAGAGTCTTGCTTTGTCACCCAGGCTGGAGTGCAGTGGTGCAATCCTGGCTCACTGCAACCTCCACCTCCCAGGTTCAAGCGATTCTCCTGCCTCAGCCTCCCAAGTAGCTGGAACTACAGGCACACGCCATGACAGCCAGCTAATATGTTGTTTTGTTGTGTGTGTGTTTTTTTTAAGAAACAGGTTTCATTATGTTGCCCAGGATGGTCTAGAACTCCTGGGCTCAAATGATCCGCCCGCCTCAGCCTCCCACAGTACTGGGATTACACGCATGAGCCACCAACCTCAGCTCAATATACTGTATTTTTTGTAGACAGGGTTTGACCATGCTAGCCAGGCTGGTCTTGAACTCCTGACCTCAAGTGATCCACCTGCCTCAGCCTCCCAAACTGCGAAGATTACAGAAACGAGCCACCACACTGGATGTTTATGCATAATTCTGACCCACTATAACTTTTTTTGAGACAGAGTCTTCCTCTGTCGCCCAGGCTGCAGTGCAGTGGTGCCATCTTGGCTCACTGCAACCTCCGCCTCCTGGGTTCAAGCGACTCTCCTGCCTCAGCCTCCTGAGTAGCTGGTATTACAGGTATGCACCACCATGCCGGCTAATTTTTGTATTTTTAGTAGAGAATGGTTTCACCATGGCCAAGATTTCTCCCAAAGTGCTGGGATTATAGGCATGAGCCACCACACCCGGCCAACCTACTATAATTTGTAATACAGCAGTAGGGAACCTGTTAGTTACCCCTTGATTTAATTTCATCTACCCCTTAAGTTACCAAGTAATCCTATTTATTTCAGCACTTTTTAAATGCAGCATCTTTTTGACAGTATCATAAGATACCATACCAACAGTGTATGTATACCAGCCTCCATTGATTGAGACATTTTTACCCACCATCTCTAGGATAAAATACTTCTTTCATTAAAAACTAAGTATAGGTGGGGTGCAGTGGCTCACGCCTGTAATCCTAGCAATTTAGGAGGCTGGAGCAGGCACATCATTTGAGGTCAGGAGTTCAAGACCAGCCTTGCCTACATGGTGAAACTCCATCTCTACAAAAAATACAAAAATGAGCCAGGCTTGGTGGCAGACTCCTGTAATCCCAACTACTCGGAGGCTTGGGCATGAGAATTGGTTGAACCTGGGAGGCGGAGGTTGAAGTGAGCCAAGATCATGCCACTGCACTCCGGCTTCGGTTAAAAAAAAAAATAGGTACAGTTTTTAAAGTATTGTATTGTCAAGTAACAGGTACTAATTAATATCTTTTATTTGTTTACCAAAATTTACTGTTTTTTTAGCCTGGGCAACATGGTGAGACTCCCAATTCTTCTTTTTTTTTTTTTTTTTGCTTCTGCCTTCAGGTGCCAGTATGTTTGTTTGTTTGGTAGTCACTGGTTGAGCTGTCTGCATGCCCAGCACATGGGCCAAAGGCTTTCAGACACCCTCTTGGTTAATTCTTAATGCTGAGGTGATGGCAGCATCATTCGTATTCACAGATGAGTCAGTTAAGTCTGACGAGATTAAGTCGTTTGCCTATAATTTAACAAAAGTCTGACGAGATTAAGTAGTTTGCCTATAATTTAACAATCAGGAGGTGCAGAGTCAAGATTTGAATCCAAGTCTGTTACACTTGAAAGTGCACATAGTGACGACTTAACACCGTGCCTGTATATTCATCAACATGCTCTATTTCTTCTTTCCCCCTTTTTCCTTAGCCAACCACAATATAGGACTGAATTGTATGTTGTATCATTAGTTTTATTTTTAAATACTTCTATATTTCCTGGTGTTTTAAAATTATTATTTTGAGGCTGGATGCAGTGGCTCCCATCCCGTAACCCCAGCACTTTGAGAGGCCAAAGCAGGAGGATCACTGAAGGCCAGTAGTTTGAGATTAGCAACAAAGTGATACCCTGTCTCTATAAAAAATTATTTTGAGAATAAATAAATAGAATGCTTCCTACATCTTTAAAAAAGAAAAACTAATTTAAGTTTCTTTTACTTGTACACCAAGCCCATTATTTTAACTACATAGAATGTTTAAGGTTAAGGACATAAAGAATTCAATTCAACCGATATTTGATCACATATTATGGCCAAGCACTAACTTAACCTAGTATTAAAATCAGTACATTATTCATTACTATTTTAAAAATTTATTTAAATTCTGACACTCTTGCTTTGTTTAAACCGTAAAGCAAACTAGATTTCTGTAGTTGAAGAGTTGCTTCTGAAATGTGTCCAAAATAAATTTACTGGCAGATGAAGGTATTCAGATGGATGAGCAAAGGGTTCCCCTCAGTTTTGTCTTATAAATTACTGTCTGGGATTAACAGTTTTTCTGTTCTTTGTCAAGTCCAATAAAACACTGGCTGATTCTCCGAATAATGCGAATGGCCCCAACGATCCCATAGTTACAGGCTGCTGCGCTCCAAGGCCAACCAGGGCATGTCCAATGCCCTGTATTTCTTCACCAGAGCCTGCACGGAGGAGGAGTTCCATCATTATGGTGAATCATAATGTGTTCCTATGTGGGGCTGCAACTTTGAGCTAGTTGCTCAAAGTTTAAAAGATTTCTTGTTTATTTTGACATTTTGCTTTCTTTTTGAAGGTCTTGCATTAGATATATATACCCACTTTACTTCTCCAATAAGATATTCAGATATTGTAGTACACTGCTTGTTAATGGCAGCCATTTCAAAAGAAAAGAAAATGAAAATTAAGGGAAATTTGTTCAGCAACAAAGATCTTGAGGAATTATGCGGACATATCAACAAGAGAAACCAAGTAAGAGGGAATTTCCAAATTCTCTTACCTGTCATCTCTTGCTAACAGAGTATCTGCTTCATTGTCTAGTAGAGTGAAGTATCATATATTCTAGCAAATTAAATTCCAGAATTATTCTAACCAGTGCTTTCATTATATTTGCAGATGTTCTCAGGTAACTTTTATGGAATTGGAAGATTTGACAGATTATTGGTTCCCACACCTCAAAAGGTGGAAATATAAAGATTCACTGTAATCCCAGCATTTTGGGAGGCTGAGACAGACATATCACTTGAGGTCAGAAGTTTGAGACAAGCCTGGCCAATATGGTAAAACCCCGACTCTATCAAAACTATAAAAAACTAGCTGGGCGTGGTGGTGTGTGCCTGTAGTCCCAGCTACTCAAAGGGCTGAGGCAGGAGAACCGCTTGAACCCAGGAGGCAGAGGTTGCAGTGAGCCAAGATCGTGCCACTGTATTCCAGCCTGGGTAACAGAGTGAGAATGCATCTTAAAAAAAAAAAAAAAGATATGGGCTGGGCTCTGTAGCTCACACCTGTAATCCTAGCACTTTGAAGGCTGAGGTGGGTGATCACCTGAGGTCAGGGGTTCAAGACTAGCCTAGCCAACATGGTAAAACCCAATCTCTACTAAAAATACAAAAATTAGCTGGGCATGGTGGCACGTGCCTGTAATCCCAGCTACTCGGGAGGCTGAGGCAGGAGAATCGCTTGAATCCAGGAGGCGGAGGTTGCAGTGAGCCAAGATCGTGCCATTGCACTCCAGACTGGGCACTGAGTGCACAGTGAGACTCTTTCAAAAAACAAGAGAAGATAGGTTACTGCCCACGGCTAACAATTAATGATTCTAGAGAGTGCTTAGATTTTTATTTACAAAAATATCATACCATGCCTGCTGTTTGAAATTTTTTCATGTAACCGAAATGTTATTGATAGCATACCATGTTACATCATTGTTTTGAAGCTGCTTTCTTTTCTATTTCATATTACTAGTTGCTACAAGATTGCCCAGCATAGAACTAGACCACTGGGTAATGCAGGAAATTAGAAACTAAATGTTTAATGTAATTTTCTGCATCCAATGGTATAGTTGTCTGCTGTGCAATATTGTAGCACTAGCCATGTTGGCTACTTAAAATTAGAAGTTTGGTTCCTCAGTCATACTGGCCACATTGCACATACTCAGTGGGCACTTGTGGTTAGTGACTACCTACCTATTGGGCAACACAGGTAGAGGGCATTTCTATCATTGCAGAAAATTCTGTTGGGCAGCACTGTTTTTTTTTTTTTTTTTTTGAGATGGAGTTTCGCTCGTTACCCAGGCTGAAGTGCAATGGCGCGATCTCGGCTCACCGCAACCTCCGCCTCCTGGGTTCAGGCAATTCTCCTGCCTCAGCCTCCCAAGTAGCTGGAACTATAGGTGCGCGCCATCATGCCCAGCTAATTTTTGTGTTTTTAGAGGTGGGGTTTCACCATGTTAACCAGGATGGTCTCAATCTCTTGACCTCGTGATCCACCCGCCTCGGCCTCCCAAAGTGCTGGGATTATAGGCGTGAGCCACCACACCCGGCCTAGCACTGTTCTAAGCAATCCAATTTACAACCATCCTTGTGGATACACTTATACAGACATTTTAAATGATTGCCTGGATAAATTCCTAGAAATGGAATTGCTGAGCTGAAAGATATACATGCACAAATGAAACTTTGAAAGGCCAGCTGCAGTGGCTCATGCCTATAATTCCAGCACTTAGATCACCTGAGGTCAGGAGTTCGAGACCAGTCTGGCCAACAGGTGAAACAATGTTTCTAATAAAAATACAAAAATTAGCCAGGCCTGGTGGTGCACACCTGTAATCCCAGCTACTCGAAAGGCTGAGGCAGGAGAATCACATGAACCCAGGAGGCAGAGGTTGGAGGAAGCCAAGATCACGCCATTGCACTCCAGCCTGGCCTACAGAGTGAGACTCCATCTCAAAAAAAAAAAAAGAAAAAAACTTTTCATACATATTACTAAATTGTTCTCCTTATCAGTAATGCTAATTTATCCATCCACCAATAGGGTTTTGGTATAACAGGCTTGAAAAGAAAGGCAAGTAAGACATGTGTGATACTTTTCCTGTTCCCAAGATGGACATGTCCCAGATTTGCTGACCTCTAATTTCTATAAACTATAAATGGGTTTCATTTTATAAAATAATTCATTGTCTAAGACATTTTGAGGAGATAATACTAGATGGTTAAATTCTCACAAAAAATTACACAAGAGAACAATTTTTCTATTAATAGTTTTACAGAATCTCACCTTTGAATATGAATTTCTTTTCTTCGGGAAATGTCAGAGGAGTATTATAATGCTTTGGAGTTGTCCTTCTTACAGGCAGCACAGCATTCACAGAAGCAGTCTACTGAACTCTTCCAGTGCACGTACTTCAAAGACAAAGACCCTGACACTGAGGAGCGTTGCCTATCTGATGGAGTTATTTATTCAATTTGAACAAATGGTGTGCTTGTATTTATACCAAGGTATGTTACATCCAATGCAATGATGCATACGAAATCATAGTTTAACTAAAAGTGTAGAATACAAACCGTATATTAGATATAATTTATTAAACTATTTAAACAGGCTGGGCTCAGTGGCTCATGCCTGTAATCTCAGCACTTTGGGAGGTCAAGGCAGGCAGATCACAAGATCAGGAGTTCAAGACTAACCTGACCAACATGGTGAAACCCCATCTCTACTAAAAATCCAAAAATTAGCCAGGCGTGGTGGCACATGCCTATAATCCCAGCTACTCAGGAGGCTGAGGCAAGAAAATCACTTGAACCCGGGAGGCAGAAACTGTAGTGAGCTGAGATCACACCACTGTGGCACTCCAGCCTGGGCAATAGAACAAGACTCCATCTCAGAAAAATAAAAAAAACTAAAAAAAAATTTTAAGCAACTTGTTACCATATGTACATAATGTAATGTATAATTCAGAATATAAATGTCAAGATTGGAGGCCAGGTGCAGTGGCTCATGCCAGTAATCCCAGCACTTTGGGAGGCCGAGGTGGGTGGATCACCTGAGGTCAGGAGTTCAAGACCAGCCTGGCCAACATGGAGAAACCCCATCTCTACTAAAAATACAAGTTAGCCAAGCATGGTGGTGTATGCCTATAATCCCAGCTAGTTGGGAGGCTGAGGCTGGAGAATTGCTTGAACCCAGGAAGCAGAGGTTGCAGTGAGCCAAGATTGTGCCACTGCACTCCAGCCTGGGTGACAAAGCAAGACTCTGTCTCAAAAAAAAAAGTGAAGATTGGAATACATATATATATTCATCTATATCCATTTTAGGGTCTTTCTAATCCAGCAAAACACTTTGTTTCCAACTGCTAAGGTAAAATAAATTCTTGGAAAAGTGATTTGTTTTTAATGTAGGAGAAAAACTAGTATTCTAGATAAGCATATAAGATCTGTGTACAGCCAGGCACGGTGGCTCACACCTGTAATCCCAGCACTTTGGGAGGCCAGGGTGGGCGGATCACGAGGTCAAGAGATGGAGACCATCCTGGCCAACATGATGAAACCCCGTCTCTACTAAACTACAAAAAAAAAATGAGCTGGGTGTGGTGACGCACACCTGTAGTCCCAGCTCCTCGGGAAGGCTAGGGCAGGAGAATTATTTAAACCTGGGAGGGAGAGGTTCCAGTGAGCCAAAATTGCACCACTGCACTCCAGCCTGGCGCCTGGCAACAAAACAAGACTCTGTCTCAAAAAAAAAAAAAAAAAAGATCTGTGTACTAAGAATACATTGTCTCTGGATTTATATTCTGGCCAAAATATAGGTTTGGGATTAAAGGTGCTGCTTATCTAAAAACTAAAAATGGTTTAGTCATCTCATGTGGCCCAGACAGCTGTTCTAAATGGAAACCAGGATCCCTTCAACGATTTCAAAACAAAATTACCTCTACTACAACAGATGGGGAATCTGTTACATTCCATTTGTTTGACCATGTAACTGTAAGTCTTTATTTCTATAAAGTATTATTAATATTTTAAATGTAAAGAACAAATAGTATGATTTAGTAATGTATTTTCTTCTCTATGCTAGGTAAGAATATCTATACAGGTCTCACGCTGCCATTCTGATACCATCAGACTTGAAATAATAAGTAACAACCATACAAGATCCCAAATACAGAACTTTTTCACCAGAGTTCCCCCTTGCTGAAGAGTGAGTTAGTGAAAGAAGCAACTAAATCTGTGGAAGAAGCTCAGCTTGCCCAAGAAGTCAAAGTGTAAACATCATTCAGGAAGAATATCAAGAATATTGCCAAACAAAGGGAAGGAGCCTAACACACTTCTAGAGGAGATAAAGGACCTAGCTCTCCTGGATGTTTCAAACAATTATGGAATATGAAAGACTCTTACTTCACTAGGAGCTGTCACATGTGAATGTTTTACAGTCTTTTCAAACCTGACATTTAATGTGTGTCACTCTAGTCGATCAGGACTGGGTAGCTATTTCACATACATGTAAAATGTTCTCATTCATTAAACTTGCATTAAATGAAGTATAATTAGGGCACTTTGTTAACTGAGTTTTCAGTAATGAGTGGACAGTAAGTGGTGGCTCTGCAGCTTGCTGGCCCCTTTTTAATAATTTTAATAAACCCAAAATTATTGGTTATCTTGTCTCAAATCCGTTCAAATTTTTGATTTATTTTTCCAGTAATTATGAATCCATTAGGGTCATAGGACAAATGGATTTTTACATCTGTCTCGTAATTTTCAGTCACTTTCAGATAGTAAGACTTAGTTCTGAGTCCACCTCTCCACTTAACTCCTGTTTCCTATTTGACTCAACCCTTCCCTGCTGTCTCCAGTACTAGCTGGGAATAGGACACAGGGTGGGTGGTAGGGTGTGCAGGGAAAGTTCTACATCACAGGCCTCTCTTCCCACCCTCCCACTTGGATGAGGTGCACTGACCTTCTCCTTGTTGGGAACATGCTACTTTGCTAGCAAACCCCCTACTAGAAAAATTAACTCTTGGCTGGGCACTATGGCTCACACCTATAATCCCAGCACTTTGGGAGGCCGAGGCAGGTGGATCATGAGGTCAGGAGTTCAAGACCAGCCTGGTCAAGATGGCAAAACCCTGTCTCTACTAAAAATACAAAAAAAAAAGTAGCCAGGCATGGTCACGGGCGCCTGTAATCACAGCTACTCGGGAGCCTGAGGCAAAGAATTGCTTGAACCTGGAGGCGAACGTTACAGTGAGCCAAGATTGCCCCACTGCACTCCAGCCTGGGCAATAGAGTGAAACTCTGTCTCAAAAAAAATTAACTCTTCTTTCTCAGTTATTTAATACAGTTTTGTGAGGGTAGAGAGAAGCAGGAATAGGCTCTCTTGAGGAAGCGGTTTCTGTAGGCATTGGTGGCACCTTGAAACTGCTCTCCATCTTCTAGCTGATCCCCTAATGGCTATAGTTAGCCACAATTCTCCTGATACACATGCCTCTTGGCCCATCCCTGTGTCAGTTCCCAGCAGGCCCACAGTCCCCTCCTGCACCATCCCAGATGTTCTCCTTGTGCTCAACTTCCTGGGTTTTCAATCAAACCATCTTTTTCACTCCCTATCCCCACCTGAAGTCAGAAACCCTGAAGAAAAGATGCCTGCCTGTCCTGGCTTTGTAGATGGAAGCCACTATAGCACCATCATTCTCCCCTTTCCCCAAGGGAAAAGAAGGTGAGAGGCCAAGTGCCATGGAAGATCACTTGAGGCCAGGAGTCCAGGACCAGCTGGTCAACATAGTGAGGCGCCATCGCTACAAAAATTTAAAAATTAGCCAGGCATGATGATACATGCCTGCAGTCACAGCTACTTGGGAAGCTAAGGCAAGAGGATAGCTTGGGCCCCAGGACTTTCAGGCTGCATTGAGTTAGAATTGGCCTGCTATATTCCAGCCTGAGTGACAGTGAGACCTTCTCACAAACACACACACAAAATATAGTGATGAGAGGGTGGGGTGGGAGAGGCTTTCCACACACCCACACACACACACACGAAATATAGTGGTGAGAGGGTGGGGTGGGAGAGCCTTTCCTAACGCTAACCTTTCTTATTTGTAATTACCCCTCTACCTGGCAGGAAGAACTTCAATCAGGTCTTCTCACAATTTGGCCCTAACGCTTCTAGCCTCAAAAATCATCATTCCTAAAATCTCCTTTATCCCCTCAATCGTTATTTATCATTATTGTACATGTGCTTCCCAGTACTTGGAATCTCCTCCACTAAATGCAGTCTTTCCTATGAATCCTCCATGATGCTGTGTTCCCCAAGATACTTTGCAAGTTTCACTCCAACTAGTCAGTAAGTTACCAAAAAGCATTCTTTGAACTACACTATTTCTTTTGAGGGCCAGGCAATATATCAGCCTTTCATGTGACCTTTTAAGTATTAAAATAACTCCTTAAAAAACATGTAAAAGCCTTGTATTTACCAAAAGTATAAACTCCAGAACTAAATAACAATGAAAACCTTCCATAAAGCCTGTAGATAACTTTTAAGATAATTTTTAATTCCTTGAAAAAAATTGACATTAACATTCAGTATATATGTACACGTTAAAACTTCACCCAGGCTACTATGGGTACACTGTCCACGGGTTAGCCCTGCTCTGCAAGGAGCAGTAAAAAACAAAAACAAAACCTCCCAACTTAGTGAAAACAAGGCATTCAATAACAGATGAGCAGCAGAAGAAACTGCTTATTACTGACTAATTATTTTATGAAGAAATAACTACATAAAAACAAACACTAAAGAGAACAGATTTAACTAAAGGGACATGCATAATGATAAACAAATACCAGATTTTAAACAATAATCTGTAAAAATCTGTACTACCTAAGGATTTTCACTCAAAGAAGAAAAATGCATAGTAACACCAAGCTTGCAGGATGGTGAGTTAACAGACACATTTTCTCTTAATGGAAACTTAACCACCTTCAGTAATATTTCTGGATGAAGCATCAAGTTACTGTGGCACATTTTTAAGATTAGTCCAGCAGTGTTTCCCCTAATTTTAATTCCTCCTCTACATTTAAAGTATTAGTATGATTACATGAATTGTCCAGAATGTCTTCTTTTAATCCATTTGACTCCTCCTTTTGATCCTCGTCAGTATTAAGCTCTTCAACTGTCTGCGCCCTGGGTGCGTTCATTAACATATCTGAAAGAAATCATACCATTATTATTCATTATAAGTACCTGATCCAATCTTACCACATGAGAACAAACCTCTACAAAAGCTTAGTTTAGTAAAATAAAATCTATGATCACTTAATGTTAATGATGAGCACTTTCTTCTAAATAAACCCTTTTTTTTTTTTGTTAAGATGGAGTCTCGCTCTGTCACCTGGCTGAAGTGCAATCTCGGCTCACTCCAACTTTTGCCTCCTGGGTTTAAGCGATTCTCCTGCCTCAGCCTCCCAAATAACTGGGATTTCAGGCATCCACCACCACACCCAGCTAATTTTTGTATTTTTAGTAGAGACGGGGTTTCACTATACTGGCCAGGCTTGTCTCGAACTCTCAGGTGATCCGCCCACCTCAGCCTCCCAAAGTGCTAGGATTACCGGCATGAGCCACCACACCTGGCCAATAAACCCATGTTTATACATGTATAAGATCCATTTGAAATGTAAAAGAGGCCAGGTCCAATCCAAACACTTTGGGAGGCTGAGGTGGGAGAATCATTTGACCTCAGGAGTTCAAGACCAGCCTGGGCCACATAGTGAGACCCCCATCTCAACAAAACATCAGAAAAAAAAAATCAGCTGGGTATGGTGAACTGTGATTGCACCACTGCACTCCAGCCTGAGTGACAAAGTGAGACCCTGTCGCCAAAAAGAAAAAAAGCCAAAGGATTTTGAATGTTATTAAACTCACACTCTTGGATCATAGTCAAATTTAACTGTTCTCATTCAAAATCAAAACTGCTCCTGGCCGGGTACAGTGGATCATAATCTCAACATTTTGTGAGGCCAAAGCAGGCGGATCACTCAAGGCCAGGAATCTGAGACAAGCCTGGCCAATAAGGTGAAACCCCGTCTCTACAAAAAAATATAAAACTTAACCAGGTGTGGTGAAGCACACCTGTAATCCCAGCTAATCGGGAGGCTAAGGCAGGAGAATCACTTGAACCTGGCAGGTGGAGGCTGCAGTGAGCCAAGATCAGCCACTGCACTCCAGCCAGGGTGACAGAGCAAGGCTACATCTTAAAAAAGAAAAGAAAGCAAAACTACAAGAAAGAGGTCTAATAAAAACGAAATACGTTTAAGTTGTAGGTCAGAGTGATCCCTAAGAAACTTTAAGGCACTTATTTCCATTTGGACAAATTTTAAGTTGTATATGATAAACAAAAGGTGAGCTTTAAATACCAATTGCCACATATACTTGATATTGACAGCAAAGAAGCCACTGCCGTCAAGAATAATGCTATCTTCATGTAATGTTTCACATGGTACTAATAAAACATCCAATTATAAAGAAAAAGTAAATTCAGTGAGGCCCGGTGGCTAATGTCTGTAATCCCAGCACTTTGGGAGGCTAAGGTGGGTGGATCATGAGGTCAGGAGTTCGAGACCAGCCCGGCCAACACAGTGAAACCCCGTCCCTACTAAAAATACAAAAATTAGCCGGGTATGATGATACCACTCAGGAGGAGGGGCCTCCTCAGGAGGCTGAGGCGGGGTTATTGCTTGAACCTGGGAAACCTGGGAGACAGAGGTTGCAGCGAGCCAAGATCGTGCCACCGCACTCCAGCCTGGTCTACAGAGTGAGACTCCGTCTCAAAAAAAAGAAAGAAAATTCATCCTAACTGAAAAAAAAAAGGTAGCCAAAATAATTTTCACTTGAAAATTTTAATATACTGGGTGTAACTTTTTTTTTGAGACGAATTTTCACTCTTGTTGACTAGGCTAGAGTATTAGGTAATGGCGCCATCTCAGCTCACCACAACCTCCGTCTCCTGAGTTCAAGCAATTCTCCTGCCTCAGCCTCCTGAGTAGCTGGGATTATAGGCATGTGTCACCACACACTGCTAATTTTGTATTTTTAAGTAGAGATGGGGTTTCTCCATGTTGGTCAGGCTGGTCTCCAACTCCCAACCTCAGGTGATCCGCCCGCCTCAGTTGAAGCTTCTTTTACAACATGGTATCTACTTATTATTATTTTTTGTACAGACAAGGTCTATGTTGCCCAAGTTGGTCTTGAACTTCCGGGCTCAAATGATCTGCCTGCCTCAGCCTCCCAAAGTGCTGGGATTACAGGCAAGAGCCACTGTGCTGGGCCTATAATTATTATTTTTCCATTTTGAAAGGAAAAACTGAATTGGAAATTAAGAAAAATACATGCAAACCGCTTACTTCATTCAAAACCAGCTTGTAATTCTTCCTAAATATAGTTTTAACTAACTTGGTTATATAGTTTTCAAACCCACAATCTGTGTTTAAAACAGAAAATTTATAACCTGATATTACTGGTATTCAGAAAGAAAAAGAAAAAAAAAACTAGTAAATTTAGGCCAGATACAATGGCTCACACCTGTAATCCCAGCACTTTGGGAGGCCAACACTGGAGGACTGTTTGAGACCAGTTCAAGGCTGCAGTGAGTCAAGCTCCCACCACTGCACTCTAGCCAGGGTGATAGATAGAGAACGTTTCCAAAAATAGTCATAATAATATATTTTTAAATAAAACTAATTTTCAGGCAGTTTTAGAAGTCAGATGGGGATGCTCAACAGATGGGCAAATTAAACAGCTACTTTTAAAAGTACAGATAAAAAGTGACAAAACACAAGAAAAAGCATTTTTTAGGGGGAGAGGGACGGAGTCTCACTCCGTCACCCAGGTTGGAGTGCAGTGGCGGGATCTCAGCTCATTGCAGCCTCTGCCTTCGGGATTCAAGTGATTCTCCCGCCTCAGCCTCTGAAGTAGCTGGGATGAGCAGTGGTGTAATCTCAACTTCCTGCAACCTCCACCTCCCAGGTTCAAGTGATTCTCCTGCCTCAGCCTCTTGAGTACATGGGATTACAGGCACACACTACCATGCCCGACTAATTTTCATATTTTTAGTAGAGATGGGGTTTCACCATGTTGGCCAGGATGGTCTCGATTTCCTGACCTTGTGATCCACCCGCCTTAGCCTCCCAAAGTACTGGGATTATAGGCATGAGCCAATTCACCTGGTCTCTTTTGTTTACTTATTCATTGAGAGGGAGTTTTGCTCTTTTCACCCAGGCTGGAACACAATGGGACAATCTAAGCTCACTGCAACCTCCGGCCTCCTGGGTTCAAGCAATTCTCCTGCCTCAGCTTCCCAAGTAGCTGGGATGACAGGCGCACATCACTATGCCCAGTTAATTTTTATATTTTTAGTAGAGACGGGGTTTCACCATGTTGGCCAGGTTAGTCTTGAACACCTGACCTCAGGTGATCCTCCCACCTAGGCCTTCCAAAGTGCTGGGATTACAGGCATGAGCCACTGTACCCAACCAAGTGATTAAAGTAATTTTTTAATAGGTACTCAACTATCCAGAAAACCATCATGGATTTATCTATTCTTTGAGGAACACATACATTGTCTCTCTCTTCTGTCACACACATTGTCTCTAAAATATACTAAACTTAGTATCACACTTTTCTACTCCTAGAAGTATTTCATTTTGAGAGCTAGCAACGAAGTTAAAATTTCTAACATGTCCTTGATATATTAACAGTAGCACATAAAATCTGGCATAAAATTTACCATTTCCTAGGGACTGACTATTACTCAGCAGCTTTGCCTGCCTTCTTTCCAAGGCCAGTTGTTTATTTCTCTCAATTCTTTGTTGTTGCTCTTCTGTTAGGCTTTTACTTGATTGTGAAGCAAACATCTCACTTTCAGATGAGTTTGTCAAAAAGGGATCTAATTCACTAGCAGTTACATCATGTTCATTATTTTCCATAACTTCACCTGCAGTAGAAAAGCAAAAGTTAGTACATCTGTAGCATTAGACTAGTTAGAGAAGGGCTTTTCATTGAAAAAGGATTTAAAGTGGCAAGGTGCCAGACCTGAAGAAAAAATTTGTGAGGTATAAGAATGTTGTGAATACATGCTTGATTCAAATAAGTAAGAAATATGTATAAATCACTTTGAAGAAGCATGTTAAGTCAAATGAAAATACAATTTAAAATATACTTGAAAGGAAACAAAAGTTATTGGTTGTAATTAGATATTTTATGCTTGGTCTAATAAAAGAGCTTAAGGAATCCAAACCACATTCTTTTTTTATTTTTATTTATTTTTTTTTTTTGAGATGGAGTTTCGCTGTTGTTACCCAGACTGGAATGCAATGGCACGATCTCAGCTCACCGCAACCTCCGCCTTCTGGGTTCAAGAATTCTCCTGCCTCAGCCTCCCGAGTAGCTGGGACTACAGGTGCGCACCACCATGCTCAGCTAATTTTTGTATTTTTAGTAGAGATGGGGTTTCACTTTCCAAACCACATTCTTGTTCTATATTAAACCATTTCAGTAGTTTGCCACAGTGTCTATATGGGAAAATGTCATTTTATTTTATTTTTGAGATGGAGTTTCACTCTCGTCACCCAGGCTGGAGTGCAATGGCTTGATTTCGGCTCACTGAAACCTCCACCTCCCAGGTTCAAGCAATTCTTCTGCATCAACCTCCTGAGTAGCTGGAATTACAGGTGCCTCCCATCATACCCAGCTAGTTTTTGTATTTTTAATAGAGACAGGGTTTCACCATGTTGGCCATGCTGGTCTCAAACTCCTGACTTCAGGTGATCCACCTGCCTCAGCTTCCCAAAGTGCTGCAATTAATTAATTATAGGTATGACCCACCACACCTGGCCAATAAAAAGTAATTTTATGTAGGACATTATCTTTTGTAGGGTAAAACAGACAAATGAAAAATGAAAAATTTAAAAATCTATGGACAGATTTCCAAATTAATTTCTTTTTAAATTCAGTGTGGTCTACATTACAAGTATTAAATTATTAAAGCCCTGTAAACCAGTTAACTCAAGGTAGGATGTCTCCAAATGATCTACAGTCGTATAGAAAGTAAATAATAGATCTTCCATTTATATTTCATTTAAAAATTAAGAAAAACTATGTTTTACTAACATATTTAAAGTACGACTGGCAGTGGTTAACTGTCTCTTGTCCTTATGACAGAGTTACTGTCTGATTTGTGAGCCACTCTATGGGTAAGATCCATATTGCAAAAGGGTGGAGAATTGGGCCCCCACTCAATTTACAATTTCAGACATACAGCTATTTCTGATTACCCAGTCAAGTAAACTGATGGATTTAATCTTACTTTAACCAAACCACCCCAACAAAATGCACAAGTGGTAACTTAAAAAGATGGCTGGATGCAGTGGCTCACACCTGGAATCCCAGTACTTTGGAATGCTGAGACGGGCGAATCACGAGGTCAGGAGTCTGAGACCAGCCTGGCCAACATAGTGAAACCCTGTCTCTACTCAAAATAGAAAAACTTAGCTGGGCGTGGTGGCAGGCCCCTGTAATCCCAACTACTTGGGAGGCTGAGGCAAGAGAATCACTTGAACCCAAGAAGCGGAGGTTGTAGTGATCTGAGATGGCGCCACTGCACTCCAGCTGGGGCAACAATGTGAGACTCCATCACCCCAAAAAAAAAAAGATTCTGCAAGGTGGCTGAAGCCTGTAATCCCAGCTCTTTGGGAGGCCAAGGTAGGTGGATAACAAGATCAGGAGTTCAAGACCAGCCTGGCCAAGATGGTAAAACCTTGTCTCCAATAAAAGTACAAAAATTAGCTGGGTGTGGTGGCAAATGCCTGTAATCTCAGCTACTCAGGAGGCTGAGGCAGAATGCTCCTTTGAACCAGGGAAGCAGAGGTTGCAGTGAGCCAAGATCATGCCACTGCACTCTAGCCTGAGTGACAGAGCAAGACTCCATCTCAAAAAAAAAAAAAAAGACTCTACAAAATAACAAAATGCCTGTAAGTAGAACAGAAGTACAAGGAAAAAAATAAAACAGCAAAGCTGAAACTTTACTTTCTATGTGTATCATCCACATGATGAAATTAAAGAAAAAAATAAACCCCATCACATCTGACAAGTTGGTCAAACAATTCATGTCACCATTTGAAATGTGTTTATATATATATTATCCTGTTCTATGTATATATTATGCCTTGAGATATTAGCTAATTATAGAAAAATACTACAATTTAAAAAACATTTAAAACATAAAGACAAACCTTTACAATTATTTCAGTGAGATTTAAAAATCATGTGCTACTTAATTGGCCTTTTACAATAAAACTCCCTTTTAAGGTTTCTTCCTTAGTGAAAAATGAAAAGCCACTTTTCCTTCCTGACATGAAAAAAAATGAAGCAAGAAATTAAAATGGCTTCCATCATCAAGAAATACTGATAGAGTACATGTATGAAACACTGATGAAGCAGTTAGAAAATAAGCATTAGAACCACTTATAAGCCGGGCACAGTGGTCATGCCTGTAATCCCAGCACTTTGGGAAGCTGGGTGGTGGGGGGGTAGATCAGCCTGATCAACATGGAGAAACCCCATCTCTACTAAAAATACAAAATTAGGGCTGGGCACGGTGGCTCACACCTGTAATCCCAAGACTTTGGCAGGCCAAGGCAGGTGGATCACAAGGTCATGAGGTGAGACCATCCTGAGCAACATGGCGAAACCCTGTCTCTACTAAAAATACAAAAAAATTAGCTGAATGTGGTGGCAGGCGCCTGTAGTCCCAGCTACCCGGGAGGCTGAGACAGGAGAATCACTTAAACCCAGGAGTCGGAGGCTGACGTGAGCCAAGATCACGCCACTGCACTCCAGCCTGGTGACAGAGTGAGACTCCATCTCAAAAAAAAAAAAAATACATGTACAAATATAAAATTAGCCAGGCGTGGTAGCACATGCCTGTAATCCCAGCTACTCAGGAGGCTGAGGCAGGAGAATAGCTTGAACCCAGGAGGTGGAAGTTGCCGTGAGCTGAGATCATTCCACTGCACTCCAGCCTGGGCAACAAGAATGAAACTCTGTCTCAAAAAAAACTTATGAAACATATGGGGTTTTTAGGCCGGGCTCAGTGGCTCACACCTATAATACCAGCACTTTGGTAGGCTGAGGCGGGCGAATCACAAGGTCAAGGGATTGAGACCAACCTGGCCAACATGGTAAAATTCTGTCTATACTAAAAATACAAAAATTTGTCAGGCGTGGTGGCATGCACCTGTAGTCCCAGCTACTCAGGAGGCTAAAGCAGGAGAAATCACTTGAACCCAGGAAGCAGAGGTCACAGTGAGCCAAGATCATGCCATTGCACTCCAGCCTGGGCAAAAGGAATGAAACTCCATCTCAAAAAAAAAAAAGAGATAAATTAACATGGACCATTCAGAGAATTACAAGCATGCGGAAATACAGGGTACAAAGAAGAGAATTGAATCTAAGATTTTTGTTTGTTGTGTGATGTACTTCATTTGTATCTTCTTTTTTTTTTTTTGAGACGGAGTTTCGCTGTTGTTACCCAGACTGGAGTGCAATGGCACGATCTCGGCTTACCGCAACCTCCACCTTCTGGGTTCAAGCAATTCTCCTGCCTCAGCCTCCTGAGTGGCTGGGACTACAAGCGTACACCACCATGCCCAGCTAATTTTTGTATTTTTAGTAGAGACAGGGTTTCACCTCATTGACCAGGATGGTCTCGATCTCTTGGCCTCGTGATCCACCCACCTCGGCCTTCCAAAGTGCTGGGATTATAGGCGTGAGCCACCATGCCCAGCCTGCATTTGTATCTTAATAGTCCCCAAAATTTTTTCATCAGGCACCATGAAAATGTTTTGACCATTTTATTAAATACATTTACTTCTTTACTGATAGAATTTGTAATGTACTTTTCTTTTTTTTGGAGACAGTCTCATTCTGTCGCCCAGTCTGGAGTGCAGTGGTACAATCTGCGGTGATAGTCTGGAGTTGCTCACTGCAACCTCCACCTCCTGAGTTCAAGCGTTTCTCCTGCCTCAGCCTCTCAGTAGCTGGGATTACAGCTGTGCATCACCACACCCAGCTAATTTTTATATTTTTAGTAGAGACAGGGTTTCATCACGTTGGCCAGGCTAGTCTCCAACTCCTAATCTCAGGTGATCTGCCTGCCTTGGCCTCCCAAAGTACTAGAATTACAGCTGGGAGCCAGTGAGCCACTGCACAAGGCCTAAATTTAATTTTTGCAGTGACAGGATCTCACTATGTTGCCCAGGCTGGTCTCTACCTCCTGGCCTCAGTCTGCCTTGGTCTCCCAACATGCTGGGATTACAGGTGTGAGCCACTGTGCTTGGCCTCCAGCTGTTCCTTGGACATCTCAGGCACACTTCTATTCTAAGGTTTTTGTATTATTACACTCTGCCTGGAACATTCTTCTCTTGTACCCCTCAAGTCTGTATGACTTACATATGTCTTACAGTCTTCAAACTGCTCAAATGACAACTCAGTGAAGCCTCCCCACTTCACTGTTGCAGTTCCATCTGCACTCCCATCATGTCTGACTCCCCTGTGCTGTTTCCTTTTTCATTGCACTTATTTCCCTTTAATTTTTATACAGTTTACTAATGTTTTAGTTTGTCCTTACAATGATGACATCCTGTAACATACTCAATATTTCTGGGTTTAGCTTCTTTGCCATAATCACTTGCCAATTTGTTTACAAGTGTTGCAGTAAATAAATTTCACGTATACTTCTTTTTTTTTTTTTGAGAGAGTTTCACTCTTGTTGCCCAGGCTGGAGTGCAATGGCACCATCTCAGCTCACCACAACCTCTGCCTCCTGGGTTCAAGCAATTTCCTGTCTCAGCCTCCTGAGTACCTGGGATTACAGGCATCTGCCACCACGCCCGGCTAATTTTATATTTTTTACTAGAGATAGGGTTTCTCCATGTTGGTCAGGCTGGTCTCGAACTCCGGACCTCAGGTGATCCGCCTGCCTCCGCCTCCCAAGTGCTGGGATTACAGGCGTGAGCCACCACGCCCGGCCTCATGTGTACTTCTAATTTTTTTAAATGTCATTTTATTTTTATTTACTTATTTATTTTTGAGGTAGGGTCTCACTCTGTCGCCCAGGGTAGAGCACAGTGGCATGCGTGATCACAGCTCTCTGAAACTTCAACCACCCAGGCTTAAGCAATCTTCCCACCTCATTCAGCCTCCTGAGTAGTTTGGACTACAGGCGTGCACCAACTGCCTGGCTAAGTTTTTTATTTCTTTATAGAGACAGGGTCTCCCTATGTTTCACAGGCTGATTTCAAACTCCTAGGCCCATGTGCTCCACCCACCTCGACCTCCCAAACTGCAAGGATTACAAGCCTGAGCCACCGAGACTGCCCCCTCCTTTTTTTTTTTACTGCCATAGAATAGAGCCTGAAATCCATGTGAATTTATACCTCTGCATAGGTGCTGCCCCCATCCAAAATCACCTCTGCCTGGCCTCTAATATTCATTCAAAATACTTTTCTTTTTAATTTCCTTTTTCTTCCTCCACCCCCAAATCAAAATTCTTCTGAAACCTCCTTTGTGAGGCTCTCCCTCCACCCCCAGGGGCTTGTAATATGCTCTCCTTTGCATCACACCCTATGACCTACTCATACCTCTAATTACAACACCTACCACACTTCTGGCAACGTTGTATGTCATTAAAAGTTAAAATATGAAAACAAACATGTATGGATCCATCGCACAGAAAATCTGATAACTATACAGACTCTGTCAGCAGGAACCATCTGTTTTGATGTGTGTGACTGTCTATGGTTGCACTATACAACTAACAAATGCAATCAACACCAGGAACAGTTACATAGATCTCACTAAAGTCCTACATCCGAGAGCTGCACTCTAAGTGAAATGCAAACTTTCATTAATTATTTCACCTAATTTTCCAGTATCACTTTATCCAATGGTGTATACATATATGAACACTTTATCTTGATATATATTTTTAACAAATGCTATATATGATTAGTGGGTCACTAGAGTTCTCAAAAGCTCATATTCTACAATAAATCTGATGTACCAAGGCTTTTTTTTTTTTTTTGAGACAGAGTCTCACTCTGTCACCCAGGCTGGAGTGCAGCCACACAATCTCAGCTCACTGCAACCTCCAACTCCTAGATTCAAGCAACTCTCCTGTCTCGGCCTCCTGAGTAGCTGGGATTACAGGTGTATACCATCCCGTCCAGCTAATTTTTGTATTTTCAGTACAGACGGGGTCTCCCCATGTTGGCCAGACTGGTCTCAAACTGCTGACCTCAAGTGATCTGCCCACCTCAGCCTCTCAAAGTGCTGGGATTATAGGCATGAGCCACTGCGCCCAGTCCACTACCGAGGCATTTTAACATACCTATTTATTGTACTTTACCATATATTAATAAAATACACAATATGGACTAAGGATCCAGTCCTATAATTCTGGCTCCTCTAACTACTTCTATTCTTTTTTTTTTTTCCCCCAGACAAGGTGTCACCCTATTCCCCAGGCTAGAATATAGTGGTGTGATCCTGGTTCACTGCAGCCTTGAATTCCTGGGCTCAAGTGATCCTCCCGCCTAAACCCCCTGAGTAACTTTTCAAAAATTTTTGGAGACAGAGGTCTCACTAGGTTGCCCAGGCTGGTCCTGAACTCCAGGATTCAAGTAATCCTCCCTCCAGGGCCTCCCAAAGAACTGGGGTTGATCCAAAGGTAGTGAGTTATCTCCATTCACAGTCAATTACAGATCAAACTCCTTGTTCTACTCTTTCCTCCCTTTTCACTACTGCACTTAACTAGTCATTTCTTTTTTTTTTCTTTTTTTTTTTTTTTGAGATGAAGTTTCACTCTTGTTGCCCAGGCTGGAGTGTGCAATGCTGCAATCTCAGCTCACCACAACCTCCACCTCCCAGGTTAAAGCAATTCTTCTGCCTCAGCCTCCCAAGTAGCTGGGACTACAGGCATGCACCAGTATGCTCAGCTAATTTTGTATTTTTAGTAAAGATGGGGTTTCTCCATGTTGCTCAGGCTGGTCTTGAACTCCCGACCTCAGGTGATCCACCCGCCTCGGCCTTGCAAAGTGCTGGGATTACAGGCGTGAGCCACTGCGCCCAGCCTTGACACGTCATAAAAAAAATTAACAAGCTGGGTGCAGTGGCTCACGCCTGTAATCCCAGAACTTTCAGAGACTAAGGTGAGCAGATCATGAGGTCAGGAATTCAAGACCAGCCTGGCCAACATGGTGAAACCCCATCTCTACTGAAAAAAAAAAAAAAAAAAAAAAAAACACACAAAAATTAGCTGGGCATGGTGGCACATGCCTGTAATCCCAGCTACTTGGGAGGCTGAGGCAGGAGAACTGCTTGAACCAGGACCCAGGAGGCGGAAGTTGCAGTGAGCCCAGATCCCACCACTGCACTCCAGCCTGGGCTACAGAGTAAAACTCTTGGCCAAAAAAAATTGGCCAGCCACAGTGGCTCAAGCCTATAATCCCAACACACTGGGAAGCTGAGCTGGGAGATGCCTTGAGTCCAGGAGTGTGAGACCAGCCCAGGCAACAAAGGGAGATCCCCAACTCTACAAAATTTAAAAATTAGCCAGGCGCAGAGGAATGCACCTGTAGTCCCAGCTATTCGGGAGGCTGAGGTGGAAGGATCTATGATTGTCCCACTGCACTCAAAACTGGGTGACAGAGCAACATTCTGTCCCTAAACAAGAAATGAAAAAGCAAAGTGCTAGGATTACAGGCATGAGCCACCACTCCCTGCCAATAGATCTACTCCTAAAACCAAAATTGTTACAAAGTAGATAAACCTATATTCTTACCATTATTGTTAACAAAATCTTCATGCAAAATAGGAAGATCAAGTCGAATTCGTTTTAAACAGGTCTGAAAATAAAAAGATTATTTATTTTTAACTCTTTACCAATAATGTTATGGGAGGAAATAGTAATTTGCCATTAATTTTCCCTCTCTACCAAAAGAGATTTCAAAATGAAGATTTCAAACAGTAATTTAGCCTCAACTAAGTCTTTTTTTTTTTTTTTTTTTTTTTTTGAGATGGAGTCTCACTCTTTCACCCAGTCTGGAGTGCAGTGGCACAAACTCAGCTCACTGCAGTTTCCGCCACACCCGGCTAATTTTTGTATTTTAGTAGAGACAGGGTTTCACCATGTTGGCCAGGACGGTCTTGATCTCCTGACTTCATGAACCGCCCACTACAGCCTCCCAAAGTGCTGGGATTACAGGCGTGAGCCACCATGCCCAGCCTAGCCTCAACTGAATCTATCTTATCACTTAGCATTGTGAATATTAATAATCATCTCAACACTTACCTGAACTTCCTTTTTACTTCCCAGGTATTCAACTCTGTCAACAAAATCCTCAAACTGCAGTTTAGGGAATAGTCTATGTGCCCAGTGCTCCATGTGTCTGATTAGTGTCTTCAAGTCTTCAGCCTGGCACATAAAAATAAAAATGCTAAGCAGGAGTCTCATTCTCACAACTGACCCTGTCAGCAAGTTTCCGAATTGAGAAGCTATGCCAAAATCACTGGGGTCATTTTATATTCTTTTTTTTTTTTTTTTTTTTTTTTGCCTACAGCACCAGGTATTACCAGGCGATCTCCCATCCAAGGTTCTACCAGGCCCGACCCTGCTTAGCTTCCGAGATCAAGTTGGGATTGGGCACATTCAGGGTAGTATGGCCGTAGACCATTTTATGTTCTTAAAATCGAAAAACTTATAAAAGGAAGTTTAATAAGAAAAATAATGGCTAGACACAGTGGTTCACGCCTGCAATCACAGTGCTTTGGGAGGCCTACACAGACATATCACTTGAGCTCAGGAATTCAAGACCAGACTGGGCAACGTGGTGAGACCCCTTATCTACTAAACACACAAAACACATCCAGTCCTGGTGGTGCATGCCTGTGGACCCAGCTACTCAGGTGGCTGAGGTGGGAGGATTTTGAGCCTGGAAAGCAGTGGTTCCAGTGAGACAAGTTCACACCACCACACTCCAGTGTGACAGAGCAAGATCCTATCTCCCAGAAAAAAAAAAGAGAGAGAAATTAAGACCTTAGCGGACTACAGTCTGAAAAAGCACTGGATACAGATATTTTCTTTTTTTTGAAAGACAGTCTCACTCTGTCACCTAGGCTAAGTGCAAGGGCACAATCTGGGTTCACTGCAATCTCTGCCTTCCGGGTTTTAAGCGATTCTCCTCCCTCAGTCTCCTGAGAAGCTGGGATTAGAGGCGTGTACCACCACTCTCGGCTAACTTTTTGTTTGTTGGTTTTGAGGTAGAGTTTTCTTCTTGAAGCCCAGGATGGAGAGCAATGGTGCCATCTCGGCTCCCTGCAACCTCTGCCTCCCGGGTTTAAGCAGTTCTCCTTCCTGAGCCTCCCAAGTGCCTGGGATTAAAAGCATGCACCATCACGCCCTGGCTAATTTTGTATTTTTTAGTAGAGACGGGGTTTCTCCATGTTGGTCAGGCTGGTCTCAAACTCATGACCTCAAGTGATCCACCCACCTCGGCCTCCCAAAGTGCTGGGATTATAGAGGTTAGCCACTGCGCCCAGCCTAATTTTGTATTTTTTAGTAGAGACAGGGTTTCTCCATGTTGGTCAGGCTGGTCTCAAACTCCCGACCTAAGGTAATCTGCCTGCCTCAGCCTCCCAAAGTGCTGGGATTACAGAGGTGAGCCACTACGCCCAGCCTAATTTTGTATTTTTTAGTAGAGATGGGGTTTTGCCATGCTTCCTGGCCTCAAGTGATCTGTCCTGGCCTCCCAAAGTGCTGGGATTACAGTAAGAGTCACGGCGTCCAGCCTGGATAGAGATTCATAAAAATTAAATAAAAAAAAAAAATCCCTGTACGAAAATTTAATAAAGTTGGCCGGGCACAACAGCTGACACCTATAATCCCAGCACTTTGGAAGGCCGAGGCGGGTAGATGACCTAAGGTCAGGAGTTTGATACCAGCCTGGCCAACATGGTGAAACCCAGTCTCTACTAAAAATACAAAAATTAGCTGAGAGTGGTGGCGGGTGCCTGTAATCCCAGCTACTTGGGAGGCTGAGGCAGGAGAATTGCTTGAACCCAGGAGGTGGAGGTTGCAGTGAGCCAAGATGGCGTCATCAAACTCCAGCCTGGGTGACCAAGAGTGAAACTCCCCTCTCAAAACAAACAAACAAACAAACAAACAAGGCCAGGCATGGTGGCTCGCCCCTGTAATCTCAGCACTTTGGGAGGGATCAGGAGTCCGAAATCAGCCTGGCCAATATAATATGGTGAAACCCCTGCTCTACTAAAAATACAAAAATTAGCCAGCGTGGTGGTATGCGCCTGTAATCCCAACTACTCGGAAGGCTGAGGCAGAAGAATCGCTTGAACCTGGGAGGCAGAGGTTGCAGTGAGTGGAAATCGCACCACTGCACTCCAGCCTGGGCAACAGAGCGAGATTCCATCGCAAAAAACAAACAAACAAAAAACTTAATAAAGTTAAAAGACGGTAATATGTATATCTTTACAGAAATATAATGTAAAACCCCGAACAAAGTTTAATAAAGTATGTCAAGATACCTTCCAGGAATAACTAAACACTGTGACAGGTCCCTACATCCTATGTACAGAAGAAAGCATTGAGAATTCAGAATTTAGGCCGGGTGTGGTGGCTCACGCCTGTAATCCAAGCACTTTGGAGGCCATGGCGGGTTGATCACCTGAGGTCGGGAGTTCAAGACCAGCCTGACCAACATGGTGAAACCCTGTCTTAAAAAATAAATTAATTAAAAATTAAAGAAAAAAAAGAAGAGAATTCAGAACTTTAAGAACATATACAGCTGGGCACAGTGGCTTACACCTGTAATCCCAACACTTTGGGAGGCCGAGGCAGGAGGATTGCTTGAGCTTAGGAGTTTGAGGCTAGCCTGGGTATCATAGGAAGACCCCATCTCTACAAAAAAAAGAAAAAGTTGTTTTCGGCTAGGCGCGGTGGCTCACGCCTATAATCCCAGCACTTTCGGAGGCCAAGGCGGGTGGATCACAAAGTCAAAAGATCGAGACCATCCTGGTCAACGAGGTGAAACACTGTCTCTACTAAAAATACAAAAACTAGCTGGGCATGGTGGTGCGCGTCTGTAGTCCCAGCTACTCAGGAGGCTGAGGCAGGAGAATTGCTTGAACCCAAGAGGCGGAGGTTGCAGTGAGTCCAGATTGTGCCATTGCACTCCAGTCTGGGTAACAACAGAGAAACTCCATCTCAAAAAAAAAAAAAAAATTGTTTTTAATTAGGCAGGCATGGTGATGCATACCTGTGGTCCCAGCTGCTTGGAAGCCAAGGCAGGAGAATTGTTTAAGCCTCAGAGTTCAAAGCTGCAGTGACCCATGACAGCACCATTGCACTCTAGCCTGGGTAAAAGAGCAAGACCCTGTCTAAAAAAAATTATTTAAAAAAAAAATACATTCAGTAGCTGGGCATGGTGGTGCAATGCCTATAGCCACAGCTATTCGAAAGGCTGACGTGGGGGGATCACTTGAGCCCAGAAGTGTGAGGGTAAAGTAAGCTATAATCTTGCCACTGTACTCCAGCCTGGTTGACAGCAAAACCCTCATTTTTTTTTTATTTTTTTAAGACAGGGTCTCAATCTCTCACCCAGACTGGAGTGCAGGGGCCTGATCTCAGCTCACTGCAACCTCTGCCTCCCAAGCTCAAGGGATTCTTTTGCCTGAGCCTCCTGAGTACCTGGGATTACAGGTGCATGCCACTACCACCTCACTAATTTTTGTATTTTTAGTACAGACAGGATTTCACCATGTTAGCCAGGCTGGCCTTGAACTCCTGACCTCAAATAATCCACCTGCCTCGGCCTCCCAAAGTGCTGGGATTACAGGTGTGAGCCACTGCACTCAGTCCAAGACCCCCATTTCTAAAGAAAATTAATTTAAAAAAAAGAATATAGCCTGGGTGTGGGGACTCACGTCTTTAATCCCAACACTTTGGGAGGTCAAGGCAGGCAGATCACCTGAGGTGAGGAATTCAAGACCAGCCTGACCAACATGGTGAGACCCTGTCTCTACTGAAAATACAAAAACTAGCTGGCGTGGTGGTGGGCACCTGTAGTACTAGCTACTTGGGAGGCTGAGGCAGTAGAATCGCTTGAACCCAGGAGGTGAAGGTTGCAGTAAGCCAAAATCGCACCACTGCACTCAGGCCTGGGTGACAAGAGCAAGACTCTGTCTTAAAAAAAAAATACATCCAGAAACCCCAAGGGCAAAGTGTCAAAGATGAGCAAGAACAGTTTAAACAATTTCAAAACATAATACCTCTCCATATTTGAAATTCCAATTAAGATTTTTGAACAAAAATGAAAAACAAAGATAAAGTTGATAAATGAATTTTTTAAGTTATAAATTCCTGGTTTTACTGTAAAAAACTTTCTTCTAGCTGGGAGCAGTGGATCACACTTGTAATTCCAGCACTCTGGGAGGCCAAGTTGGGCAGATCACAAGATCAGGAGTTCAAGACCAGCCTGACCAAGATGGTGAAACCCTGTCTCTACTAAAAATATACAAAAAATCAGCTGGGCGTGGTGGCAGATGCCTACAATCCCAGCTCTGAAGAGGCTGAGACAGGAGAATCACTTATACTTGGGAGGCAGAGGTTGCAGTGAGCCAAGATTATGCCACTGCACTCCAGCCTGGCCGATAAGAGCAAGACTCCATAGCAAAAAACAAACAAACAAACAAACTTCATTCTTCACTAACATTATTTTAAAATAGAAGAAGAGCTGGGCATAGTGGCTCCTGCCTATAATCCCAGCAATCTCGGAGGCCGAGGCAGGAGAATCTCTTGAGGCCAAAAGTTGGAAACCAACCTAGGCAACTTAGTAAAACCCCATCTCTACAAAAAAAATAAATAAATAAGTTAGCTTGGCATGATAGTACACACCTGTAGTCCTGGCCACTTGGGAGGCTGAAGTGGAAGGATGGCTTGAGCCCAGGAGTTCAAGGTTGCAGTGAGCTATGATGGAACCACTGCACTCCAGCCTGGGTGACAGAGTGAGACTCAGTCTTTAAAAAATTAAAAAACAGCGGCCGGGAGCAGTGGCTCATACCTATAATCCTAGCATTTTGGGAGGCCAAGGAGGGCAGATCATGAGGTCAGGAGTTCCAGACCAGCCTGGCCAACATGGTGAAACTATGTCTCTACTAAAAATACAAAAATTAGCCAGGCATGGTGGCGCACGCCTGTAATACCAGCACTCAGGAGACTGAGGCAGGAGAACTGCTTAAACCCATGAGGCAGAGGTTGCAGTGAGTCGAGATCGCGCCACTGCACTCCAGCCTGGGCAACAGAGCGATACTCTTGTCTCAAATAAATAAATGAACAACAGGCTCTGGATCAGATTACATAGATTACAATTACAATTCCACTACTAAATGGCTGTGTGACTTCGAACAAATCACTTTATTTCTTCATGTGTAAAACGAGAACAAAATATATGTATTTCATAAAGTTATTATAATGAATACAAGTACCTGACACAAAGTTGGCTATATCAAGATGATCAATCCTTTTCTTTTTCTTTGTTTTGTAGAGACAGGGTCATGCTATGTTGCCCAGGCTGGTCTCCAACTCCGGGCTTCAAGCAATCCTATCACCTGGGCCTCCCAAAGTGCTAGGATTATAGGCATGAGCCACTATACCTGGCCAGGACCATCATCCCTATCAATGACTAAATATGTAATACTGAGAATAAAATGTCTTCTCATTCTACCCTTCTGATAGTAAAAGCAAAGTTCTGGGAAGTGGAGATGTCAGTGGCGTGAGGCTCAGGAGTATACATCAGGGGAAGCCAAAAGCCAGCTGGAATAGTTCCTGAATACAGTCTTAATCTTGTTTGCAATTATTTTGAAGGGGAGAAATCATCTGGATCAGAATTAAGATGCTCTTGTTTCAAGGAAATAGCGTGCAACTTGTCAGATCCTCCTTTGGACTCTTCTTGAGAAATTGGTCTGCCTCTAAGACATCTCTGCCTGTGCTGACCTTATTCACACAGCCGGGCGCAGTGGCTCATGCCTGTAATCCCAGCACTTTGGGAGGCCGAGGCGGGTGGTCAAGAGATCGAGACCATCCTGGTCAACATGGTGAAACCCAGTCTCTACTAAAAATACAAAAAATTATCTGGGCATGGTGGCATACGCCTGTAATCCCGGCTACTTGGGAGGCTAAGGCAGGAGAACTGCCTGATCCCAGGAGGCGGAGGCTGTGGTGAGCCGAGATCACACCACTGCACTCCAGCCTGGGTAACAAGAGCGAAACTCTGTCTCAAAAAAAAAAAAAAAGACCTTCTTCAAAAAGGACCCATGCTCCCTTTGTGATGAAGCCAAGGAAGTACTCAAGCCTTATAAACACAGGTTTATTTTACAGGAGGTAAACATCGCACTTCCAGAAAACTCTGCCTGGTATGAAAGGTATAAATTTGACATTCCTGTCTTTCACTTGAATGGCCAGTTTCTGATGATGCATCGAGTAAACACCTCAAAACTTGAAAAACAGCTCCTGAAACTTGAGCAGCAAAGTGCCGGAGGCTGACTAATGCCCTCATGATTTTCCACCTGCTCTTTCCATAGGCATCTTCCTAAGGAAATATTTGACCATGGCCTGATACTCCTTTTGTCACTTACACAGAGCCCTAAGGATGTTCTGAACTCAGTGGTGCCAAATAAATGTTGACATTCCTCTTTTGGTTGATGGAAAAAAATTAAAATAAAAATAAAAAAATAAAAGCAAAATTTTTTTAAAAACTCAATCACATGAGACTATTTTCCAGTTGTTGGGAGTTGCAGGTCAACTACCTAACAACGTCATGTCAAACCCAAGGGACACAAGAAGAGAAAAATCTATATACAGCTAAGTCTAAGTCATATATGGAGAAAAAAACAGTAAGGATTCCACATTGTGAGAAAACAGTGATAATACTCAAAGGAAAAGTATAGAAGACTAAACTATATGAGAGCCCACCATCACACACTGAAGAAAGACAAAATGCACGGTCAGAAGCAGTGGCTCACGCCTGTAATCCCAGCACTTTAGGAGGCTGAGGTGGGCGTATCACCTGAGGTCAGGCGATCAAGACCAGCCTGGCCAACACGGTGAAACCCCATCTCTACTAAAAATATAAAAATCACCCGTGCATGGTGGCGGGCGCCTGTAAACCCAGCTACTTGGGAGGCTGAGGCAGGAGAATCACTTGAACCTGGGAGGCAGAGGTTGCAGTGAGCTGAGATCATGCCACTGGACTCCAGCCTGGTTAAGAGTGAGACTCCATCTCAAAACAAAAAATAAATCAATAAAATAATAAATAATTTTTAAAAATTCAAAAAAAACCAAAAAACTCTACTTTGACACTTCCTTCTCCCCACTGCATAGCAACACAGGAGCAACACCTACAACACAGGCTGAAAACTAAAGACTATATATGAAATACATGAAGTACTACAAAACTCTTTAAAAATCTATTATCATCTGCTAAAAATTATACCTACACTCCCACATAATTCAAAAATAGATTTCAAAATGTGCGTTTGTACAGTGATTGACAGTTACTAAATGTATTCATTTTACAACACTTTACTGATACCTGTTATGAACCAGGCACTGTGCCACATCTTGGGGATATATAAGTGATCAATACAGGCAGAGTCCTTGCCCTCATGAAATTTAAAATCTTTGAAGGAGACAAAATAAATTCCTCTAAATTATAAAGTAAAAACTGAGGCTTAGAGACACAGGTGTAATTTTCCTATAACCAAGGTTTAAGTAGCAAAAAAAGGAGACTATGCAAGACATGATTTCTGATTCTTCAAACAGTTCCCTTTCTGGTACATCACAACTGCTTCTCAAGAAATACAATGATTAAGAATAGTATCTTAAAGCATTCTGAGGGTTCCAAGAACATGATAATGGGTCCACATTTTTATTGCTATTTTAAAAAACAAAGGTCTAACATAAAAATCAGACAGTTCTTACCTCATGACCTTTACCTTTGAATTTTGCCTTATCGAATACATGCCTTAAGGCTGGAAGTCCTCTCTCTGAAATTAATCTGTGAATAAAAATATGTTTTTAATTTCAAGTTTTCTAGAGTTTGGTCTAAACGAAGACCATAAGAAAAAATATATTCTGCTGAACTAAAAAAAAGTTTTTAGAAATATAAGAACTCGGCCAAGCACGGTGGCTCATGCCTGTAATCCAAGCACTCTGAGAGGCCAAGGCAGGCAGATCGGAGGTCAGGTGTTCGAGACCATCCTGGCCAATATGGTGAAACGCTGTCTCTACTAAAAATACAAAACTTAGCCGAGTGTGGTGGCATGCGCCTGTAATCCCAGCTTCTCAGGAGGCTGAGGCAGGAGAATCACTTGAACCTGCAAGGCAGAGGTTACAGTAACCCGAGATCACACCATTGCATTCCAGCCCGGGTGACTCCACATCAAAGCAACCAAAAGTTTTTAACATTAGAAGAACAATGGATGTTAAAAATAAAAAGTATAAATGTATAAGAATATACTAAATGTACCTCTGAGCATCCAACTTGGGTATATTTCTTTTAACTGTTCTCTTTGGAGGTACAGGAACAGGTGCTCCACTTCCTGCCTCTAGTAAAACATACCAAGATCAGTAGTACTATACTTAAAGAATTTGTATTATTTATTAAGTATCATTTCCAAGCTGATAAAATAACTAGCCAGGCACGGTGGCTCACGCCTGTAATACCAGCACTTTGGGAGGCCGAGGTGGGTGGATCACGAGGTCAAGAGATCGAGACCATCCTGGTCAACATGGTGAAACCCCCTTTCTACTAAAAATACAAAAAATTAGCTGGGCATGGTGGCGCGTGCCTGTAATCCCAGCTATTCAGGAGGCTGAGGCAGGAGAATTGCCTGAACCCAGGAGGTGGAGGTTGTGGTGAGCCGAGATCGCGCCATTGCACTCCAGCCTGGGTAACAAGAGCGAAACTGTCTCAAAAAAAAAAAAAAAAGATAACTAAACATGTAACACCTTTTTTTGAAACAGGGTTTCACTCTGTTGCCCACGCTGGAGTGCAGTGGTGTGATCTTGGCTCACTGCAGCCTCAAACAAAATCCCCCTGCTTCAGCATTCTAAGTAGCCAGAACTACAGGCACAGCCTACTATACCCAGCTAATTTCAAAATCTTTAGAAGAGATGAGGTCTCGCTATGTTGCCCAGGCTAGCCCAGGCTGGTCTCAAACTTCTGGGCTCAAGCCATCCCTCTGCCTCAGCCTCCCAAAGTAGTGGGATTACAGGCAGGAGCCACTGTGCCCAGCCTCCTTTTTTTTTACTTTTTTCTTCTCAAGTACCTTTTACCACAGCCTCCTTTTAAAAACTCTTTATACATACCTTCATCAGGCTCAGCTCTTTCACCATCTTGTCTCTCTGGAGAGGGTGGAGGTGGGAAAGGTGGAAAAATTTCATCTTCTACATGCTCATAATCTGGTACGTCAATCATGCCATTCTCTGGTTCTAGCATCTCTTCCTCTAGGGGAAAAATGTAAAGTTCTTTGTATTCATCCAGATAGTCTTTCCACTACATAGACAAGTTCCACTCGCAGCAATTTCTGTTTCAATCAATTAAACCACATTTCAAACTCACACATCATGAAAAGTAGAGAAGACACTAATAATTATTATTATTTTTTTTTTAAGATGGGGTTTCACCATGATGGCCAGGCTGGTCTTGACTTCCTGACCTCAGGTGATCCACCCACCTCGGCCTCCCCAAAGTGCTAGGATTACAGGCGTGAGCCACCGCGCACGGCCGACACTAATTATTTAAAAAAAGGACTAGCCTAGAAACCAGAACTAAGTTCCTACGTAGACCCTAACATTAAACAACACTATTATGTTGAACAAATCCTTTTACCTCAACTATTGAGTTTCCCCTACCATAAAAAGATGAATTTGACTTTTCAGAAGGTTTCAAACTGTGATCCAATAAATAGGGTATGAAATACACAGGATAGTGCTCGCTTTGGCAGCACATACACTAAAACTGGAACGATACAGAGAAAATTAGCATGGCCCCTGCGCAAGGATGACACGCAAATTCGTGAAGTGTTCCATATTTTTTAAATATAAAAATTTTTTTTAAATAAAAATATAAAAAAAGAAATACACAGGATATAGGTACTCCACCCCCACTTCAACTAGAGCAACTTAAAAAAAAATCTGTTTATCTATACCTACTATGTGCCCACAAAAATTAAAAGTAAAAAAAAATTTTTAATGTGTTTATATACTGGTCTTCTAGGTAAGGTTTCCTTTAAAGGATGGTCAGGCGTGGTGGCTCACGCCTGTAATCCCAGCACTTTGGGAGTCTGAGGCGGGTGGATCATGAGGTCAAGAGATCGAGACCATCCTGGTCAACATGGTGAAACCCGTCTCTACTAAAAATACAAAAAAAATCAGCTGGGCATGGTGGCACACACCTGTAGTCCCAGCTACTCAGGAGATTGAGGCAGGAGAATCACTTGAACCTGGGATTCGGAGGTTGCAGTGAACCAAGATCACATCTCTGCACTCACTCCAGCCTGGGCAAGACTCTGTTTAAAAAACAAACAAACAAGGCCAGTCAAGAGATCGCAACCATCCTGGCCAACATGGTGAAACCCTGTCTCTACTAAAAATACAAAAACTTAGCTAGGCATGGTGGTGTGTGCTTGTAATCCCAGCTACTCAGGAGGCTGAGGCAGGAGAATTCCCTGAACCCAGGAGGCGGAGGTTGCGGTGAGCCGAGATCACACCATTGCACTCCAGCCTGGGTAACAAGACTCCATCTCAAAAAAAAAAAAAAGTAAAAAAGAATGGGAAATTATCTTCAGGTTGATAATTCAAAAGAACGTTTTCCAGTACTGCCTTACTCAATTTCTCAAAACAACTGACACTTTTGGTCAGTTTTTGTTTTTATTTGTTTTGCTTGTTTTTATTGAGACGTAGTTGCTCTTGTTGCCCAGGCTGGAGTGCAATGGCATGATCTCAGCTCACCGCAACCTCTACCGCCCAGTTTCAAGCGATTCTCCTGCCTCAGTCTCCTAAGTATCTGGGATTACAGGCATGCACCACCACACCTGGCTGATTTTGTAATTTTAGTAGAGACAGGCAGGATTTCTCCATGTTGGTGAGGCTGGTCTTTAACTCCTGACCTCAGGTGATCTGCCCACCTCTGCCTCTCAAAGTGCTGGGATTACAGGCATGAGCCATGGGGCCCTGCCTCTTGGTCAGTTTTTTTCTGGAAAAAATGTTTACCTTAACTTCTAAGACATAGTACTCACCTGGCTTCCCTCCCTTTCTGGAGACTCCTTCTGGATTTTCTTTGTAGGTTTATCTTCTAACCCGGCTATTAAGTATCCAAGACTCCATCCTAGGGCTTCTTCATTCATTTATGTACATAGCTTTAATAATTACTTATTCATAGATGACTCCCTGATTTTCATCTCTACCCTAGGCCTTGACTTTGCCATCCAGATCACTACGTCCCATTTTACACCTCCTAAATGCCTCAAAGGCACCTATAACTCATCATGTACAAAACCGAACTTCTATATTTTCCTAATTCAGTGGATGACATTCATCCAGCCATGCAATTCAGAAACGTACAAGTCATCTTTGGCTATTCCTTCCCCCCCCCCCCACAGATCCTACCCATTTTATTTCCTAAATATCCCTTGAATCTATTTATGTCTCCCTGTCTCCATAAACACTTCCCAACATTTCTTGTTTCCATTACTGCATTACTCTCAATCACTCTTGCGTCCTTCAATTGTCCATATTACATCTAAACTGAATCTGAAAATGTAAAGCTGATCATCTGAAGTGGCTTAAGTATTTCAATAGTTTCTGATGGCGCTTAAAATAAAGATACAACTCCAAGGCCCTGTGTGATCTGGCCTCTTACTACCTCAGCAGCCTCACTTCACACTACTCTGTTTTTTCTTTCCCTGAAAGAGATACATCCCACAGGCCACCGGCTCTTCACAAATACTATTTCCTGTCTTGAAAGCTCTTCTTTGACTCCTAATCTCTTTCAGATCTCAACTATCACCTTTTCAGACGTTTACCTCAGTTTCTCTAAATTCTCCTTTAGTAAGCATTCATAATGTCAAGTACAACTGTCGTGGCACTTATTCAGCTTCAATATCAGGTTTTATTTATATGGTTATTTACTGTTCATCTCCCAAACTAGACTGTAGTTCAAAAAGGGCAACCAGGTAGGTCTGTGTTCCACAGCTGGAACCCCAGTGCTGGTACACAACAGGTGCTCAATATACATTTGATGAATGAAGGAATACAAAAACAGTAATTCCAAAGCTTCCCCAGAATTGGAGTAAGATGCTCTCTAAAATATCACCAATTCTAAATTTCAATGATCATAAATACAAAAGCAAAGCATCCACCGGGTGCAGCGGCTTATACCTGTAATCCCAGAACTTTGAGGGCCAAGGCGGGCAGATTATGAGTTCAGGAGTTCGAGACCAGCCTGGCCAACATAGTGAAACCCCGTCTCTACTAAAAATAAAAAATAAAATAAAAAATTAGCCGGATGTGGTGGCATGCCCCTGTAGTCCCAGCTACTCAGGAGGTTGAGACAGGAGAACCGTTTGAACCCAGGAGGTGGAGGTTGCAGTAAGCCGAGATCCCGCCACTACACTCCAGCCTGGGCAACAGAGCAAGACTCCGTCTCACAAAAAAAGAAAAAAGCAAAGCATCAATTCCTGATCACGACCCAGTGTAGCTTCAAGTAAGCTAGAGGAATCTCCAGTGGGGTTCAGACCTTTGAGGCGGACAGCGAGCTTTGAGTTTGATGGCAGTGCCCAAACTTTATCAAGTGTACCCAGGAACTGGCCAAGCATGGGGTGCGGCTTATCAGGAAATTGGCATGTCTTCTATTTGTAGTGAACAAGATGCTCAATACACGACTTTTACTTCCGTCAATGGTCGCACAACTGTCTCTTTTCAGACACTGATGAAATTGCCCCGACTTCCTCCGCTACTCCTCAAACTCCCAGAGGAGTGAAGGTAACAAATATACGGTGCAAACCACGGTTTGTTTCCAGACCCTGGTTTCCAATGTCCACCTCCTTCCAAGAAGTCGAAAGAGACGCCCCTCATCGCAAGGGAAGTCCTACCGTGCTGCCTCGATGTCCCCCTGGGTTCCACCTTCGAAACATCGAACCTCCCATACCTCTTTCTCCAGCGTCCCCTCATCCTCGCTCCCCACCTATCCTCTCTTCAACCTCATTCATCCATCCAACATTCGCTGGGGGCTTTCTACATTTACACGCCCCGTACAGAAGCCGGGAGAAAGACAATAAGGAACACGTTCCCTCCCGCTAAGGGGCTTGGCAGAGTAAGAGGCAGCCCAAAACCTCAGCCGCCGCGACAAGCGCCCGCGTCCGCGCCTCTCCAGGCCTAGTCAGGTCGATCCCGCAGCCTCCTGACCCCTTTACTGCGACAACTAGGCTTTCCCTCTCGTCCGTCTGGCTCCCTGGCTCGTCCAGCTGACTCCCCACTCCCCACTGACCTGCCAGCGAGCTCTCACCACACGTTGAACACAGGCGCCAAACGCGGACCCTGGCGAGCAGACTAAGCGCGCTTCTCGCGAGACTCGGGAATTCCCGGGGCATTTGGCGCCAAATCTTAGCGCAAGTCGGGCGGCCTCGTAGGCCCCGCCTCTTAGTCCCGCCCACCACGCCGGGCCCGCCTCCGGTCCCACAGCTTCCGCCCTACTGAATTCTTCAGAAGAACTCTGTTAAGCTTCCTTATTTGCATAAAGCTAATACTTATTCTAAGCTTTTTCTTTTTCTTTTTTTTTTTAAGACGGGGTTTCACCATGTTCGTCAGGCTGGTCTTGAACTCCCAACCTCAGGTGATCCGCCCACCTCGGCCTCCAGAGTGCTGGGATAACAGGCGTGAGCCACGGCGCTCGGCCTTTTTTTTTTTTTTTTTCCTTGAGACAAGTTCTTTCTGTATCACTCAGGCTGGAGAGCAGTAGCGCGATCTCGGCTCACTGCCGTCTCGACCTCCCGGGCTGAAATGATCCTCCCACCTCAGCCTATCTTCACCGACTAACACCACCGCACCCAGCTAATTTTTGTTTTAATGGTTTTTGTTTGTTTCTTTTTTTTTTTTTTTTTTTTTTTTGAGACGGAGTTTCGCTGTTGTTACCCAGACTGGAATGCAATGGTGCGATCTCGGCTCACCGCAACCTCCGCCTTCTGGGTTCAAGCAGTTCTCCTGCCTCAGCTTCCCGAGTAGCTGGGACTACAGGCGCGCACCACCATGCCCAGCTAATTTTTGTATTTTTAATAGAGACGGGGTTTCACCTCGTTGACCAGGATGGTCTTGGTCTCTTGACTTCGTGATCCACCCGCCCTAGCCTCCCAAATTGCTGGGATTATAGGCGTGAGCCACCGCTCCCGGCCTTTCTTTGTTTTTTTCTTTGTTTGTTTGGCAGAGAATGGGTTTAGCTGCACAGGCTGGTCTCGAACTCCTGGTCGCAAGCGATTCCCCCGCCTCAGTTTCCCAAAGTGCTGGGATTGCAGACGTGAGGCACCGTGCTCAGCACTTTAAACCTTGGAAACAGGTCTTGGTTTTTGGAAAACTGAGTTGTGGGAGGAGGGAAAAGGACAGAGTCAAGCAATAGTGAATGAGAAACTACCGCTTCTTCAGTGGTCATAGCAGAATGCCTCCAACTCAGAGTTTTGTGAATTGTTTATTGTATAATAAGCTGAGAAAAGAAGCGGCAAAGAGAGGAGAAACAGGATTAAGAGTGTAGACACTGGCCGGGTGCGGTGTGGCTCATGCCTGTAATCCTAGCACTTTGGGAGGGGCAGGCCTGCGAATCGCTTGAGCCCACGAGTTCATCGCACCGCTGCACTCCAGCCTGAGCCACAGAGTGAGACCCTCTATCAAAAAGAGAGAGAGAATGTGAGTATAGACAAAAAGAAAAATGTCGGCCGGGCGCGGTGGCTAACGCCTATAATCTCAGCACTTTGGGAGGCCGAGGCTGGTGGATCACGAAGTCGAAAGATAGATCATCCTGGTCAATAAGGTGAAACCCCGTCTCTACTAAAAATACAAAAATTAACTGGGCACGGTGGTGCGTGCCTGTAATCCCAACTACTCGGGAGGCTGAGGCAGGAGAATTGCTTGAACCCAGAAGGCGGAGGTTGCGGTAAGCCGAGATCGTGCCATTGCACTCCAGTCTGGGTAACAACAGCGAAATTCCATCTCAAAAAAAAAAAAAGGAACAGAAAAAGAAAAATGTCAAAACTATGTTACTTGGTCAGATTTAGTGGCTCATGCCTGTAATCTCAGCACTTTGAGAGGCTGAGGCAGGAGGATTGCTTGAGCCTAGGAGTTCAAAACAAGCCTAGGCAACATACCGAGACCCTGTCTCTATTAAAAAAGAAAAAAAAATTTTTTAAACTGTTTCCATTTTAAAATAGTATGTCCAAATATATTTGTATTTGTAAACACACACATAAACACACAACCACTGAAAAACATGTAACTAGAACCCATATGCAATGAAAGTGGCATATGGGATAGAGTGGGATGGGAACTTAACTATAATTTTTTTGAACATACAAATATATTAACTATTCAAAAAACTAAATGTAAAAATGTTATTTGAAATAAATATAGCATCATTAAGATTTGGCAAACCTAGAAGATAATTGGGGAGTACTGGCAGCAGTTTTCTCTCCACTTTTCTTTCTCTCTTTTTTTTTTCTTCTTTGAGATGGTGTTACTTTGTTGCTGAGGCTGGAATCGGGTGATCCTCCCTCCTCCCAGGTAGCTGGAACTACAGACTGGCATCACCACACTTAGCTAATTTTTTAAATTTTTTGTGGGTAGGGAAGTTTCACCATGTTGTCCAGACTGGTCTCCAACGCCTGGGCTCCAGCAATCCACCCCCCTCAGACTCCCAAGGTGTTGGGATTACAGGCATGAGCCACCGCACCCAGCTACTTTTCTGTAGCTTGAAACATTTTATTACAAATTTAAAAAGCGGACCAGGCACGGTGGCTCATGCCTATAATCGCAGCACTTTGGGAGGCTGGGGCAGCCAGATCACCTGAGGTTGGGAGTTTGAGACCAGCCTTGACCAACATGGAGAAACCCCATCTCTACTAAAAATACAAAATTAGTCAGACATAGTGGCACATGCCTGTAATCACAGCTACCTGGGAGGCTGAGGCAGGAGAATCACTTGAACCCAGGAGGTAGAAGTTGCAGTGAGCCAATATTGCTCCATTTCACTCCAGCCTGCACAACAAGAGTGAAACTTGGTCTCAAAAAAAAATTTTTTTTTTAAGAATTGAGTCCCAAGGCCGGGCACATTGGCTCACGCCTATAATCCCAGCACTTTGGGAGGCCAAGGCGGGTGGATCACGAGGTCAAGAGATTGAGACCATCCTGGTCAACGAGGTGAAACCCCGTCTCTACTAAAAATACAAAAATTAGCTGGGCATGGTGGTGCGCGCCTTTAGTCCCAGCTACTCGGGAGGCTGAGGCAGGAGAATTGCTTGAACCCAGAAAGCAGAGGTTGCGGTGAGCTGAGATCGCGCCATTGCACTCCAGCCTGGGTAACAACAGTGAAACTCCGTCTCGGAAAAAAAAAAGAATTGAGTCCCAGATGCCGAGCGAGGCTGCAGTGACCGTGATCCAGCATGGGTAACACACTGAGACCCTGTTTCAAAACACATAGACAAACACACACACAGAGTGAGACCCTGTCTCAAAACACACATGCACACATGCCCACACACACAGATTACCAATTCTGTCTGCCAAAAATTATGTATGCATGTGTATATATGTGTCATATTTCCTTTATTTTATGGTTTTATTTCTATACTTGTGAGATATATATTAATGTTAATCAATTAATAAAATTAACATAAATTTGGGATTTTTTGTTGTTCTTGTTTTTGAGACAGTCTTGTGTCGCCCAGCCTGGAGTGCAATGGTGCAATCTTGGCTCACTGCAGCCTCAATCTCCTGAGTTCAAAAATTCTGCCTCAGCCACTCAAATAGCTGAGATTACAGGCATGTACCACCATGCCCAACTAATTTCTGTATTTTTAGTAGAGATAGGGTTTCACCATGTTGACCAGGCTGGTCTCCAACTGACCTCAAGTGATCCATCTGCCTCAGCCTCCCAAAGTGCTAGGATTACCCGTATAGGTCACTGCGCCAGGCCTAAAAGCAATGTGAACTTGAATGAGAAATGTCCATTTCAGTAGTCTGAATTGTTGAGACAAGAGGCATTCTTTTAATTATCTAAGTAAGTTTATATTCTAAATTTTTTGACTAATAAAGTAAATGTGAAAGCACTCTGAGAAGTTAAAAAAAGTTATACACCTTCCCCACGCCACCCCCACCCTGTCAAAAACAAACAGAGCAGATACTCTGGAAGGTTTAAATCTCAGTTCCATCATTTACTGGTTGGTGACTTTTAACTCTGCTTCAGTTTCCTTTTTTTTGTTTTTGTTTTTTGATTACTTGGGTTGGAGTGCATTGACACAATCATAGCTCACTATAACCTTGAACTCCTGATCTCAGGTGATATTCCCAGCTAGGACTCCCAAAGTGCTGGGATTATAGGCATGAGTCACCCCACCTGACCCAGTTTCCTCATAGGGTTGTGAGGAGTAAAAAATAGTATTTAATGGCATGTTCCTGTAGTATCTCAGCTACTTCAGAGTCTGAGGCAGGAGGATTAGTTGAGCCCAGGAGTTCAAGGCCAGCCTGGGCAACATAGGGACACCCTATTCCTAAAAATGAAAATAAATGTAAAAGACATTAATACATTTCCTATAATTATCCATATGATTTTTAGAATGTTTCACCCTTTTAGAAAACGTAAAGATTTTGGCCAGGCATAATGGCTCACACCTGTAATCCTACCACTCTGGAAGGCTGAGACAACAGGATTGCTTGAACCCAGGAATTCCAGGCCAGCCTGGGCAACATGGTGAAACCCCATTGCTACAAAAAAGCAGGAAAAGAAAATATCAAGATTTTGTTAAGGAATTGTTTGTTGTTTTAGCTGCGGTACAACCACAGTTGTAAGTCATTGATATTGTCAAGAACTAATTGTACATCGGATGCAGTGGCTTACATCTGTAATCCAGCACTTTGGGAGGCCAAGGCAGGTGGATTACTTGATGCCAGGAGTTCAAGAGTGGCTGGGCCAAAATAGCAAAACACCATCTCTACTAAAAAAACAAAAATTAGGCCAGCACTTTGGGAAGCCAAGGTGGGCAGATCACAAGGCCAAGAAATCGGGACCATCTTGGCCAGTATGGTGAAACCCCGTCTCTACTAAAAATACAAAAATTAGCTGGGCGTGGTGGCATTAGCCTGTAATTCCAGCTACTCAGGAGGTTGAGGCAGGAGAATCACTTCAACCTGGGAGTTGGAGGCTGCAGTGAGCAGAGATTGCGCCACTATACTCCAGCCTGGGTGGCAGAGGCCGACTCTTTCTCAAAAAAATAAAAATAAAAAGTGCTGGGCATGGCGTCACACACCTGTAGTCCCAGTTACTTGGGAGGCTGAGACAGAAGGAATTCCAGTCTTGAGCCTGTGAGTTCCAGGCTGTATGGATCCATGACTGTGCCACTATACTCCAGCCTGCGTGACAGA